TAAAGGGAGGTTTGTCCACCGCCAAGACATGTTGAAACAAAGTTCTGGCAAATAGTCTTGGGACGATTTTGCCGACTACGGCTAGCAACTTTGAGTCCTTTCTTGACCATGTCTGATTTGTCGTCCAAAATCCGCTTGTAGGCAGACGTGCTCGACCTAGGTCTGGCTGCACGAAAGGTTCGTAGAGCACTTATGGCCGTGGCTGTCTTGCTTTTGGCACATCGGGTTCATGCTCCATGGATGTTATTAGAACATTTCGTGAGTCTAAGAACATTGCGTGGTAGGCCTATAGGAATGCCGGGACGGTCGGTCCCTGCTCAAGAAATCCGTGACTGTTTTGACCGGGTCTTTGTCGGGGAGGGGGTCGCCAGCCTCGCATTTATCTCTGTCCCCGAGATCGACACGCCAAAAGGCGACGACAAGCTTAGGGATGCGCCCTCAGAAACTAGGGAATCCCTAAGATCGGCATCGCGATGAGGCGATGCCCAACGTAGGGATAGGGATATGTTCCAAGCTGGTAAAGGGGAGGGTTCTGCAGTCCAGGGCCGGTCGGCCAGTTCCCTGGGCTGGGAAAGGCCTGGCCCGCACCGCTCGAGGGGCAACGATACGCGTCGTGGGAACAGCGTGGCGGGCGGTGGTTCTTTAGTTTTGTTGGGGGGAGGGGGGGCGTCCCAGGGGCTTTACTCGGGGGCGGCAAAGAGGGGGGTGATGACTAGGGGGGGGGATATCATGGCGGGGGCCATGATATTTCCCCAGATTTCATGGCGCCTCTTTGCATTTCATTACGTCCCTGGCTCCCCCGCTGGGCCGCGCATATGCCGCCGGTCATGATTTGCACCCCCCCTTCTTGGACACCCCACTCTTTGCCGCTCCCGAGAACAGCGTGGCGGGCGGTTGTTCTTTGGTTTTGTTGGGGGGAGGGGGCGTCCCAGAGGCTTTACCCGGCCTCGGGACCGATGAACAAGCATGCAGGATGATGCACGTGGTAGTTTTTTATATGTGTTCTGCCTCGCCGATCGGCGCGGGCCCTCGCACCCCCCCCTCCCCCCCCCGGAAAGTAGAGCTTGGCTGTTTTTGGCGCCTGTTTCGAGCAGGTGGAGTCTCCCCCCCAGAGGGCGCACTGCTGCAAACAGTTGCGCCAAGCAGAGGTCCGGAGCCAGACCCCCCCTCTTCCCCCTTCCGCCCAAAGTTGAAACGCCGAGTATAAAAACACGCTCACCCTTTTTTTGCCCCCAGGAAGCACTCCAGCCCTCTGGGCCTCCCGTTTTTGGTCATGTTATGACGTCGGGGGCCCAGGGGTGCAGCCACCGCTTTGCCGTCAGAAGTGCTGGGTACGGCGAGCCTCGGCCAGGAATCGTCTCCCCGGCCCAGACCGCATCTTCGCTGCGCTTTGTCCTGACAAGTCCGTTTCTTGTGCCCACGACGTCGATCTGTCGCCCGCCGCTCGCTCGCACGACGCACGTTTGACTGGTGCGCGCGGGGGCTGGTTACTCTTTCGTCAACGCTCCGTTGCCGATGCGCTGTCCAGGCGCCTGGCTTCTCTGTCTGTCTGTCTGGCCTGGACCGCAGGAACGGCCCGAGTATCATAGCGGTCCTCGTGTGAGCGTCTTTGGTGTAAGACGGTCCCATCAGGGAAGCAGGGGGGTTTCTGAGGTGAGCGTTTTTCGATTCATTTTTTTGCCGATCGGCGCGGGCCCTCGCACCCCCCCCTCCTCTCCCCCCCCCTTCGTGGAGTAGAACTTGGCCGTTTTGGCGCCTGTTTCGAGCAGGGGGAGTCCCCCCCCATAGGGCCTACGGTCTCAAGCAGTCGCACCAAGCAGAGGTCTGGAGCCAGACTTAAGTCGGGCCTGTCCCCCTACAGGGGGATTTTCAATGAAAAAGAAAATACTCCAAACATAGTATTAAAAGATAACAACAAAAAGTCTGGTAACTATTTTTGAATATGTGTTTTGCCTTTTCGGTGTATTTTTAAAGCATTTTCTATTTCTCGTCGAAAATCCCCCTGTAGGGGGACACCCCTGACATAAAGCCCCCCCCACCCATTCCCCCCCCCCCCTTTACCGCCCAATGTCGAAACGTCGAAAAAAAACTCACCTCAGAAGCTCCCACGCATGCCCACACAGACGCCCTTGTCGCACCCCGTGGTCAGCGCTGGAGGACGAGGCGAGGCGAGGCGAGGCGAGGTGCGGGCAGGGAGGCGAGGGAGGCCGAGGCGAGGCGAGGGCAAAGTCAGGGTTCAGGGACAACGTTAGGGAGGGGGGGAGGCTGAGGAGGGGGGGGGGGAATGCATCGACCCCTGGTCGCCCATGCATTGTAGATGCGCTATGGGTGGCCACAACATGCCCATATGCGTTTTCTTTGCATGTTTTCTATATATACATATATATATATATATATAACCATATATACATATATATATATATACATATGTGTATATATATGTATATATACACATATATATATATATATATATTAAAAATAGGGGGGGGCCATCGCCGATCGATCGGCGATGTATGTCCAAGACAAGCTCGACGCTTTCCCTTGGGCCAGCCTCCCCGTATACAGTCAAGACGCCCAAAAGGACCAGCTTATCATCCCGAGGCGCTTCTCGTCGGTCCCTAGGCCCGGTCAGGGGCCCGGGACGCCAATCATCGGGACGCAAGTGACGGGGGTCAATGCAAACGGGGGTCAGCCAGAGCGCCGGATCTTGCAAGACCCTGCACGATATGCAAGATTTTTGCAAGATTCTGCAGGGCCTGACTGACCCTGGTCTGGATTGACCCCGGGTCAGAAGATCCCCGAAATCATAAAAAGTATCCGTCGCGATGTTTCAGAGCCCCGAATCGACAGGGGTAACTCGGGTCAGGGCTAACTCGGGTTCGTTGTTCGGGAATCCGAACGCGAGGTACCGCGGGCTCGAGTTACCCCGGATAGTTCGGGCGTCCAAAGCCCCGAATCGTCAGGGTAATTCGGGTCAGGGCTTACTCGGGTTCATTTGTTCGGGAATCCAAGCCCGAGTTTCCCCGGGCCCGGGTTGCCCCGGATAGCTCAGGCGCCCAAATGTTTCACGACGCGTATCGTCCCCCTTTCCCGAGAGGGGGGGGCGGCGCCAGCAGCGGCCCCTGCGCGGCCCGCAGCGCTGAGCCCGCCGCGGCCCGTCGGCAGGACCAGGCCGTGCCTCAGCAGGCCGAGGGGGGTACGTCGGGGGACAGCGGCTGCTGCTCGCCTGTGGGCGCCCCGAGCTCCTGGGACACGCGGGGGGGGGGGGGGTCGGTTGGCGCCCGCCCGCGGGAGCTGCGTGGGCGCCCCCCGCTCTCGGAGGTGGGTCGGGGGTTCGGCTGGTGCCCGTCTGTCTTGGCATCGCTCGGACGTGTGCACAAACCGAACAAAAACACAGGGAATGGACGTCCGAGCGATGGCCAGGGGCTCGCCAGGTGCCCGCCCGTGAGCGCCGCATGGCCTCCACACATCACGCACTGCGTGGCGGGCACGACCCGGCTCAGGCCACACGGCTCACGCCGCACGGTTTGCACATCACAGTGTTCACCACATTGTTGACACCGCTGAGCTCACGCCACACAGCCCACACCGCATAGCTTGCACAATATACTGTGCACAACACGGCGTACTCCACATAGGTCACACAACATTTTCGGCGCCACACAACTCACACCGCATACCTAACATAACATCGTTTACATGACACAGTTTGCACACCATCGTTTGCACAGTACAGCTTGCACAGCACTGCCAACACAACTTAGCTCACATGGCACATATTACACCACATAGCCGCTTCCTCAGTGCAAGAACTCATTGCTTGGGGTCCACGCGCGCTGGCTAACACATGGAGCCACGTGCCACATGATCTCTCCCGGGGAAGTCCTGGCGGCTGCGTGCGCGGCGCCGTCGCGGTGCTTGACTCAGTAGTGTGTTGCAAGGTTCATGTCGTGTGAAGTCGGGCGTGCCCCTCTATAGGAGGAATGTTCAAGGATAGTCAAAAGATAGTCAGGGGGCGATGTTTTGACTGTTCTTGGTTATTTTGGGGGTATGTTTTATTTGTCGTCCACATTCCCCCTGTTGGGGGACATGCCCGACCTGAACCTCGCGTGTCCCTGCCAGCATCAGCTCAACTATCCCCTTGGCGGCATAAGCCCCGGGCCCCGAGCCCTGAACGGTGCCGTCAGGATACGACAAGGCGGATCGATACTTTATGCTGAGAGTGGTATAGCCAGCGCGCACAACAACACAAGCAGGAGACCATGCGGGAGACCGTCCGCAGGCGACCACACGGCAGGCCACAGGTGGGGCCAATCCTCTGGCCAATCCCGCCACCGTGCCTGCGTAGTGGGTCAGAGGTGTTCTGGATGCGTGTCGGGGCCTGCTGGAGTGCTCCTCGGAAGTGTCTTGGGATGCGTTCGTCTGATGCGAGCTCGATGACTCAGGTGGCACCCGAATGGTACCACTTGGATCATATCGATCCCAGCGGGCGTCGATCCCTCGCGCCTGAGTTGTGGGTCAGAGGCCCTCTCCAGTGGGGGCAGTGGTTGTAGTCTTTTGGACCCTCTGGGAGGCCTCTTGGGGAGTCTCTTGGGGGGCCTCTTGGGCCTGCTTCGTGTTCAGGACCGATCAATGCAAACAGCCACTCGCTCAACGGGAGAATGCTGTGCACATGTTGCATCCATATATGTCCACTTATCAAGCACAAGCCTTGTTCGACTGTGTATCTATAGCACTCTGCCAAATGTCATGAAGCTTTCAGCAGCATATCGAGAGCCTACTGAGGACCCTCTCACCACCCATCCAGGTCCCTATCGGCGCCCTCCCAGAGAGCCGATGAGGACCATCTCCGGAGCATGCCAGCATCCTGCTACCAGGGAGTTTTGCTAGACCAACCAGGGTGCGTTCGGAGGAGGAGGAGGAGGAGGAGGAGGACCAGATGAGAGGAGGAAGGAGGACCAGGATAGTCAGGAGGGGGAGCACGGAGGGGGCGCTGCGAGGACCAACATCTCCCTGCGTTGCGACCCGACCTCGTCGGCTACGCCAGCGGAGCTGGGCTGGTTCCCCGAAAAGGGGTTTCCTCCTCCTCCTCCTCCTCTTCCTCCTCCTCCTCCTGCTGCGCTCCCGCTGGGGGCCTATCCTCCTCCTCCTCCTCCTCCTCCTCCTCCTCCTCCTCCTCCTCATCCTCCTCCCATCTCTCCGTAGCCATTGTGGCTCAAGGTCAAATGGCGCTTCCATCACTGCGTCAGTGCGGCAGGCTCCCATCCAGCGTATACGTCTTCTTGCAGCATCCACAGGGGCGAGCTGTCGCCCGATGCCATATCGTCTCGGCCCCCCCCCCCCCCGAGGGCCATCAGATGGCGGGCGGCGTTCCGTGCATCAGGACTCGACCTGCAAGGCCTGCGTCGGCAAGCGTGGGCGTGCGCTGATCAACTGGGGGGGCGGCGCTCAGGTGCCAGGCGCGCAGGCTGCCCAAGCGCGCGAGCTTCGGGGCGAACGTGCCCCTGCCCCTGCCCGGCAAGGCGACAGGGCAGCCTGCGGTGGCGAGCGGCACGGCCCCGCCATGGGCTGGAGCCCTCCCGCCATGGGCTGGCGCAGGCGCAGCGGAAATTCCAGGAGCTCAGGAAGCAGCTCAAGGGCGCCAGCGGCGCTGGCGGCGGGGGTCAGCAGCTCGCGGTGGCCCAGGGCATGGTGGTCGACGACGGCGCCGCCATCGGCGCGGACGACGCGGCCCTGGCCGCCGAGGTCAAGGGGTGCGAGGCGGGCCTCCAGGCGCTCAAGGATGTGGCTGCGGACTGGGCCAAGGCGGCGCGCGACGCGCTGTGTGCCAGGCTCGAGAAGGCCAAGGCCAAGATCTTCGCCAGCAAGCCCCTCCACGCCGGGACGCACGCCATCGCCTACAAGGCCAAGCGGTGTGCCGAGCGGCTGGACAACGCGGATGCCGCGATGCGCGATGCCAAGGAGGCGTTCCAGACTCCAGAGGGCGCATGAGGGGCGGCGCAAGGAGCAGACCCATGCCGAGCTCCTTGCGCAGCAGGCGGCGCTGCAGGCGGAGCTGGGCACGCTCCAGCAGCAGGCCCCGCAGGTGCCTCCTCCCCGCGCTGCTGGCCAGGCCATGGCGTCGGACATCATCGGCGGGCCAGGCCATCATGCGGACGCAGCTGGCCCAGCACCTTGACGACGAGCAGCCTGTCCCTGCGGACGCGCAGAAGCGGATGGCAGGTGGGCGCCAGACAGGAGAAGTTGTTGAGGCTGTTGGGCCCAAGACTGGCAGTCCGTTCGGGGGCGCAGGCGGCCTCGCGCCCGGACCCCAGGACGCGTCGACCGACAGCGAGTCTGGTGGCAGCGGCAGCGCGGCCAGCGGGCCGCAGGGGTTGGGCGGCGTCGCGGGGGCTGCTGACGCCGTCGGCTGACGCGGCGAGGGCTTCGTTGTGCTCGGCAGACGAGAGAGCTCGCAGTGTCGGGGCGCCAGGTTTCCCGCTGCCAGGAGCCAGTTCGTCAGCAGGGGGGATTTGCACAGGGGGCAGGCCCAGCAGGACCATGGCCGAGGTGGGGGAGGTCGCGGGGAAGCAGGGGCCCCAGGTTTGCGGCGAAGCTAGGCCTCGGCGAAGCGGGCTGGAGACTTGCGGGCATCTACCTCGCGGCGGTCGCCCGAGGGCCTGCAATGCGCCGAGGACGCCGATGAGCGACGCGGCGGGCCTTTCGGGGGCGCAGGCGGCCCCGCGACGGAGTCCCAGGACGTGCTGACTGACAGCGAGCACGGTGGCAGCATCAGCGTGGCGCAGGTGCGGACGGCGGGGGTTGCGGGTCGATCTGCGAGAGAGATCGGCCGAACCTCGCGCGAGCCGCTGATCCCAAAGCGGCTCTCGCCAAAGCCCCCCCCCGTCACGGGGCATGAATGAACCGCGGGAGTTGGGCGGCATCGCGGGAGCTGAGCGCGCTGATGAGCGACGCGGGGGCGAGGGTGCGCTTGGGGCGCGGCCTTGCGCTGGGCACCCCCCGCCACAAACGCCGCCTCGACCCCTGGCCTCGGCGCGCGCGCGAGGCCAGCAGGCTGCTGGCAGCGGCGGCCGCGCGCGCGGCAGCGGGGCGGCCTCGCGGCCCCCCGCGGCCGGCGCGCCTCGCGCAGCTGCGGCAGCTCGCCGAGGAGCGCGAGGCCAGCCGCGGCGCGCCCGTCCACGCCACGCGCTGCGTGGAGCCCCGCGGCGCGGAGGCTCGCGAGGTGGGCTCGCTGGTGGGTCGAGGCTTTCAGCGAGGCGCAGCGGGCGGACGACTGGCGGCAGCGCTGCGCGCCGCGCGTCGAGGCTGTCCTGGGCTAGCCGCGGCGGCGTGCGCGGGCGCGCGGCAGGGTCAGCCGCGGGTTGTTCGCACGGCGCCGCCGCGGACTGTCGTGCTCCCACGAGGCGTGGATGGCCGACTCCACGCGGAGGTGCGAGACGGAGGCCCTCTGTCGTTGGCTGGCCGACCTTGGGCGACCTCCTGGCGCGCCAACGATTCGCCGGGCGCCTGGCGACCGCAGGCGGTCACGGGCGCGGGGCGCAGGCGCGGCCGTCGCGCGCTCGGGCTCCAGCAGCCAGCGGGGCGGCGACCCTGCGGGGAGGGCGGCCGCGCGCCAGCCTCGTGCCGCTGACGCAGCGGCGAGGCCGCCCGCGGGGGCTGAGGTGCCCAGCAGCGAGGAGGAGGTGGCTGGGTCCATCCGGCAGGCCTCCTCACCGCCACCGCCGAGCCCCTCGCCCCCGCCCAGCGGCGAGGAGGGCTAGGCGGCGGCCCCCACGGCTGCGGCGCGGCCCGCCCCGCCTTGGGCGGGCGGCGCCGAGGCGCAGGCGGCGGAACGGCATGGTGTCGTTCGGCCTGAACTTCGTCCTCTTGTGAGGGCCCGTGGAGCGTTGTTCGCGCGACGGACGGCGCCCCCCAAGCTCCTGCACTCCAGTGCTCCTCCCCCTCCCTCGCCCTTCATCGGTGGATGGCGACGGCAGTCCATAGGCGTAAAGTGACCGAGTATCTGGAATTTGAACCAGATCCTAGCAGTAGTCTAGTGCAGCGAGAGTTGTTAGTAGACGGTTCAGCGATTCAGCGGGATCCGAGGTTTGTTCGTATGTTTCCTCTCCCCTCTCTCGCTGTCCTCCTTATCATGCTCTTTGCCCCCTCCCTCCCCCCCTCTCCGTAGCCACTTGCTCCCAATATTGATTCCATTGCTAGCTGTGTGCATCTCAAATTCTAACCGCGGTGTTCTGCACGCGTGCAGTCGAGGGCTGGATGGCGATGCCGAGGGATGCCCTCGTGACGGTTTTGCAGGCCATCTGGGTGGCGGGCATCCGTCATGGCGCTGCTGGAGCATATCCCGCGGGTGGCGATGGCTGCAGTTGATGCTGTAGAATCCGGACCTGGCGGGCGTCGTGGTGCGGCGCTGGCGGCGTCGTGGGCGAAATGGGGATCACCTTGGTCCACAGCATCAGCTTACAGCCTTTTTTCTTATTCATGTCGGCCTCTCGATCGTCGAATGTGCGTGTGTGTGTGGTGAGGAGACCAATTTTCGGCAGTCGGGCCTCCCATGCTCCTCCTCCGCAACTGTTCTCTTCCTTCCTGGTCGCCTCTGCGCCCCGTGCCCGCGCCTTTTGACCGCCAGAACCGGCCCCCGCGCCTGCGACCGCCGTCGCTGCCGATGAAAAGGTGTGCTGAGAGTTGCTGCGGAAACTCTGGCCGGGCCCTGGGCAAGGCGGGGAAGACCACCATGTATTTTGACGCCCGGGAGCGGTACGAAGAAAGCGGGTACGATGTCCAACAACAAACGTTGTTCAGAACCGACAGCGGCCGCTGTTAGGCAGCTGGCCTTCTGTATCGAATGGACGACGGCCGCGGTGACGCCGACCACGAACCCTTGTTCCCAGCGTTTCCGTACCCAGTTCGATCGTCCCGAACGGAGGAGGTGCACCTAGCCCTGCAGGGGCGTCGGCGTCACCCCAACTAATACTGTGCACGCGTCGCCCCCCCAGGGGTGACGCGTGCACCGAGAAATCTTATAGTATATGCCCCGTGGCGGGCGTTTTCTGGCCACACCGGTCGGGAAACGAGATATTGCAAACTGGGTGTGCTATAGGTTCGGGTCTGACGCATGTCTCTAAGGGGGACACACAGTCTAGTGTGTCCTTGTGCGTCCTATGGCGAGGAGGCCCCCGCCATTGACTGGGTGGCGCCGCGGGCTTGGTCGACGCGTGCTGCCCACCCCCGCTCCGCCATCGAAGCTCCAGTGCTGGAGGCCGATGCCGAGAGCTAGCCGGTCATCGGGCTCAGGGCGGGATCCGCGAACGTGAGCGCTTCTGGCGTGGAGCTGGCGGGCGCGGCCGAGCCTCCGTTTCGACGGCCGCGTGGGCGCCAGGCTGCCCGCAAGGCAGCGCGCCCTGCGGTGAAAGCCGACGCCTCGCGGCAGGCGGGCGCAGGCGCAGAGCGGCGCGGCGTTGAGGCCGCCTGCCGGGCAGAGGCCGATGCCCAGGCGGAGGCCGACGGCCCGGGCGCGCGCTGGCGGCCGAGCGCCGAGCGGTGGCTGAGAGTGTCGCAGCGGCCGAGGGCCTCTGCTGAGGTCCGTCAGCTGGGCGTCGAGAAGGGTGCCGAGGCCGTGGGCAAAGCGGGGCCGAGAAGGTCCCGGGCCCTGCCCGCCATCGTCGGTGTCTTCGCCTCGGGCCCCCTCCCTGTCTCAGTGAGGCAAGCGAGGCTCAGGTTCGTCCCCAAGGCGCTGTGGCCCCCGTTCGAACGGTCTCACTCGTCATTAGCTGCAGACGGCAGGTCTGGCGGAGTCGGCTGGATCCTATTGCCCCCTCAGTTGGCTGTGCCTGTCCAGAGTTCGATCGTGGGACTGGCTGAGGCGCGCCCATTTTGGTAGTGGCTCTTCAGATTATCTTGCTTCTGCATGTCAATGGTAGGGCATCCGTGGGAGGTACGTAGTGCGTGGTGGGGGGCACCCGTGGTTGTGACTTGTTGTTGCTGCGCGATCTCGCCGTCGCATACAGGCGAGACCGCGCCGCCCTCAAACATAAAACACGAAGCACCATAACCAGGAACATGCTTGCGCCGGGCCTTTTCTCGAAGAAGAAGAAAATTACATAATGCTAAACTTCTGGCCCTCCGCGCGGTTTTCTCTGATCCGCGCCTGGGCCCCCTGGCGGCGCCTCCGGCGCCGCCCCTGGCGCGCTCCGCGCGCCAGGGAGGGGGGTCCATCGCGAATTCAAGAAATCCGCGCGGAGCGCCAAAAATGTATGTTCATGTGTCATGTGTTTTTTCTTCTCGACGGGCGGTGGATCTGGATACATCTGGGCCCCCGTGGGCCGCAATATGTCCACATCCATTGCCCGCTGGGGCACCAGGGCGTCGGCTCCCAGGCGGTGCATGGGCACAAGTCCCCACCTCGCATGTTCGGCCTCGAGACGGTGTGCCGGGCGCGCCGGTCCTTGCCTGTCCACCCGGCGCCGGGATCCCGTCCCGGGCGACTGCATCATCGCACCTCGCACGGGCCGTCGGGCGCCTCGGGCGCCCGCGTTTTCTCGAGCCCGGGCCCGGGCCTCTCCGGGCCGCTCTCACGGCTCCTCTCCTGCGCGGCGCTTGGCGGCTCCTTCCCTGGCCGCTCTCAGTGCTCCTCTCTTGGACCGCTGTGGGCGGGCACAGCGTCCAGAGGAGGTGCAGGAAGCGCCCCAGAGCTCACGTGAGGCAGCCCGCGGAACCCCGGGGACGCCCCAGGACGGCCTGGGAAATGGCTGGCGCGGGCCTTTCAAGGAGGATCGCGCCGCATCGCCGATGCATCGGCGATGCGGCTCGATGTGGAGCCCGCATTGCTTCACGTCGACGTCGCCGGTGCATCGCCGACGTCGACGATGCATCGCCGGTACAGCAGCGGTGCATCGCCGATGCATCGGCGATGCGGCGAGATCCTCCGACCCCATCCACTGGGACCCCATGCAGGGGGCCTCGACCTGCTCCCCTCCCCCTCCCCGTGTTCGGCTCCAGTGGTGGTGGTGGAGGGGGGGGGGCAGGAGTGCGGCGGGCGCCGAAATGGGGGAGGGCCCTGCGGGGGGGCGGGTGCAGCCGGCCCAGAGCGAAAGCGCGCACAGGGGAGGCGTGGCCGAGGACGGTCCGAGGGGAGCAATTGGACGTGGCACTGAGAGCTCAGGAGGGAAAGAAACACACAGACACAATGAATCGTCGATTCCTCAGAAAATATGGGACAATATCGGAAGTGGGGGGGAAGACAGAAACCCAGCACAAAAAATTGGGAAATATGGGGAATCCTTTTATTTGTGTGTATTCATTTGTGTGTGTTCTGGGGCCCCTTCAAGAGCGCGGGTCTTGCTTGGAGCCGGCCAGGGGGGCTGAGGGGGCCCGTCACTGGCTGCGGCCAGCAGGAGGGGGTGTTAAGGGGCCCCCCCGCGTCGCCACGGTCGGGCGCGGCTGGAGGAACGGGTCAGCTTCGACCCCACCGCGTTGCGCGGTCCTGCTCTAAGTCGGGCCTGTCCTGCTACAGGAGGAGGATTCCAGAGTAGTGTTGCACCTGAGAGGACCCCAATCGGTGGATGATTTGACAATTAGTCATACGGATCTTGAGATCGATTGTGAGATCGATAATGAGATTGATGGTGGAATCGATAGTTGACGATTGTAAGGTCGATCGCGAGACCGAGAGTGAAATCGATTCAATGAGATCGATAGGGAGATCGATCGCGAGATCGCTCGTGCGATCTCTAGTGAGATCGCTTGCGAGATCGATTGTGAGATCGGTGGTAAGATCGATAGAGAGGCGGGAAATGAGATCAATGCTGAGACCGATCGATGATAAGATCGACCAGGAACCCGGGAACCTGGGAACCTCGCCGCCCATGGCATCGAAATCGGCCCGGGAACCCGGGAACCGGGAAACCCGGCCTGCCACCAAAATCGGTGTGAAACATTCGTTTCTTTTTCAATATCCGCTAGGACCCCTTCAGTGCAAGCACTGATTGGGGAATAAGGAATCGTCTGGGGACGATTTTTCGACTACGTTTGGCTATTTTCGAATTTATTCGCGTTTTTTTTTTTTCGTTCAGAATCCGCCTGTAGGGGGACACGCCCGACCTAAGTTTTGCTCTTGTCCCCCTGTTTGACACATTGTCTATGAGGAAAGAATCCTGGAGGTCTCGCGCGGCGCGCAGTTGTTGCATCGTGCAGCCCGCGCGTCCGCCCCGGAAGATGTGGGTGGACATTCGCGCGGCGATGCCCCGACCGAAATCTTAAGCCGGGCGTGTCCCTCTACAGGAGGAATATTCAGAAATAGTGAAAAACAGTATGGGGACGATTTATATTATTTTTGAATATGTTTTGAATGTGTTTTGGCTATTTTGAGTTTTTCGTTCGTAATCCGCCTGTAGGGGGACATGCCTGACCTAACCGCAGTCCAATGTGTGTGTGTGTGTTTCCGACGTGCATCCGGCGGGAGTCCAGCGTCAATCCGGCGTGGGTTTGGCGCGAGTTGGGTCAGTTGCTGCGCGATGACTCCACGGGAGTTTCCCCCGCAGGGTCTCCTCGGGGCCCATCCGGTGCAGATCCCCTCGACGACGAAGACGACGATGACGATAACATTCCTTCGCATTCATCTGACATTCCGCCTCTGACTTCACTTAGTGGGCCACGGAAACGGCAGGGCCGTTTATTGACCGTTTGCAAAAAAAGTGCCTCTTGAAAATAGAAAGGGCAACAACACCGGCGACCGGAAACGGCAACACAAAGTGCTCCAGGATGTGAGCCAGAGCTGGAGCCGGTGCAAAACTGGCGACGGGACCAGTAAAAAATTGCGTCGGAATGTGCAAGCACACGGCAAAGCGGAACCGGTAACAAAAACGGCCCCGTCGTTTCCAGGGCCTCCTTGGCATGCTTCCACGTGGGGGGGGGGGGGGGGCGCAGCATGCGAGGAGAGGCGGCTCATCCAGCGTAGATCCTCTCTCGACGACGACGACGACGATGACGATGACGATAACATTCCCTGGCATTTCTCTGACATTCCGCCTCTGAGTTCCCTGGCACTTAGTGGCTCCAGAAACGGCAGGGCCGTTTATTGACCGTTTGCAAAAAAAGTGCCTCTTGAAAATAGAAAGGGCAACAACACCGGCGACCGGAAACGGCAACACAAAGTGCTCCAGGATGTGAGCCAGAGCTGGAGCCGGTGCAAAAACGGCGACGGGACTAGTAAAAAAATGCGTCGGAATGGGCAAACACACGGCAAAGCGGAACCGGTAACGCAAACGTCTCTGTCGTCTCCAGGGCCGGTTTGGCATGCTTCCACGTGGGACGACGACGACGACGACGACGACGACGATGACGATGGCGATGATGATGATGATGATGATGATGATGACGATGACGTTCTTTGGCATTCCTCTGACGGTCCGCCTCCGAGTTCCCTGGCATGTCTCCACTTGGGGGGGTGGGGGGGCGCAGCACGCGAGGAGAGGCGGCGGCCCCGCTGCCATCCTCATGGGGGGGGGGGTGCGGTCCACGGTTGGGGGAGGGTTCGGAACACAAGGAGGGGGGGCGTGAGCAGGCGGAGGTGAGGAACGCCAAAGTCTGACGATCAGCCGTGCTCCTGAAGGGGGAGGAGGAGGACGAGGAGGAAGAGGAAGGAGGAGGAGGTGGAGGAGGGGGAGGGGGAGGGGGAGGAGGAGGAGGAGGAGGAGAAGGAGGAGGAGGCAAGGATCGCCACAGTCTGAGAGGATGCCGAAATGGCAGGCGGGAGGCTTCCCTTCTGGCCTCCGCTTCTGCGAGCCGCTCGCCGCCCCGTCCCCTCGCCCTCTCCCCTCGCTCGGCTGCCGCGTGACATTCCCTAGGCTGGGGCCTTGGCCCGGGAGGAGGAGGAGCCGGCTCCAGCCTCCATCCAGCCGCCGCCCTCCTGGTCGGTCGCCTCTCGGTTTGCCAGCCTCGAACGTATCCCTATCCCTAAGATTGACACGCCAAAAGGCGATTCCAATCTTAGGGATTCGCCCTCAAAAAATAAGGGAATCCCTAAGACTGGCATCGTGATGAGGAGGTGCCCAGCATAGGGATAGGGATCTGTTCCAGGCTGGTAATCGGTGGTGCTTCGTGGCATCTCCCGAGACCGGCCATGCTTTCCCGCCCGTGCGCCCCTGGCTGCTCCCTGGGCCCGGCCAGGCTTTCGCAGCGCTTGCTGGTTCTCTCCTCGCTGCGACCGAGAAGCGGTACAGAAAGACTGGGCACTAAAACCGACAGCAGTTCCTGCTCGTGTTGAACAGAGTTCGCTGTGGACGTCCCCGCGGTTGTTTTTCCATTTGAGACAGACGGCCGGGTGCCCTACAGCCGCCGCTGACGGTTTTCGGAATCATTAGTGGTTGGGCATGGTAGTTGGGTCTTCGGTACCCATTCCTTCGAGGCGTGGGTTTAGTCAAAACCACCGCCCGGGGGATCGATCTTCGCGGCCACAGGCCTCGGATATAGAGATTCGGGCCCCCGGGGGCCAACACGTATCCATACCCACCGCCTGCTGGGGCACCAGGACGTCGGTGTTCTGGCGGTGGACGTGGGTAAATCCCCACCTCGCAATTCCGGGCGTCCGAGTCTTCCTCTTGTTCAAGCCCCTACCCGTTCTGGAGGCCGGGTGCCATTCTCCGCCCGGCCAGGCACGGAGACGGGGTTCGTATGTGGCAAGGGGTGTCGCGCGAGGGGGAGGTTTGCCGAGCTCGACGGCACGATCCGCGACTTCGGCATCAACGTGAGCGTTTTTGGGCGTTCTTGTACGTCGTGATTCGTCGGTCGTTTTACGTGTGCATTTGTGGTTACCATGTCCTCATTTTCTCCAAGCGCCCGCCTGCCTCCGTGATCGAGTGGCTTTCCCCTTCATTGTCATCTCGAGGTGTGCCACGGCCCAATTGTGTGCGCTTCGCGAATCCCCGCCAGCCCATTCAGAAGCCCTGCCCACGAGAGCTGACCAGAGATGGAAAGCAGAGACGCATATAGTGAAACAGAGCGGTCAAAGAGAGGAGGGGGACAAACGTGTTGAGCCATCTTGGAGGCCATTTTGGAACACCTGAGACCGTCTTGGATCTATGGGGCCGTATCAGGGTGATGATGTGGTCCCCTTGGAGCTTTTTTGAGGCCCTTTTGGGGCCCTCTTGGGGGTATTTGGGGGGTCTTTGAGTCATCTTTGGGCTCTTGTAGGGCGCCTTGGGGCCCTGCTGGGGCCCTCTTGGAGCTCTCTTGGGGCTTTTTGGGGGGTCCTCTTGGGATCCCTGGAGGGCCTCTTGGGGCTGTCGTGGAGGGTGTCGGTGAAAAGAAGGGGGGTCCTAACGTTTGGCCCCCCCCTCTGGGGCCATCAACATAACCTCTTGGGACGCTCTTGGGCCTCTCTTGGGGCGCTCTTGGGCGGTCTTGGGCCTTCTTGGGGGCATCTTGGGCCCCTTTGGGAGCTCTCTCGGGTCAGCTTGGGGCCACATTGACGCCTCAACACCGAATTGGAAGCGATAAGGCGAGAAGACACTAATCATTGATGTTCCTTCCATAGGTATTGGAAGGATCTTGGCTTTTCGGGCAGGTCCTGAGAGGTCTCCAAATGGACTTGGATCCATCTTGTGGCCTTCTTGGGGCCTCTTGCAGGCATGCTGTTAGCTATCTTGAGCCATGTAGGCTATCTTGAACGATCTTGGAGCCTGCAGGCCATCTTGGGCTCTCTAAAGCCCTCTTGGAGCTATCTTGGGCCATCTTGGACGCCCTGACCGCTCGCGACCCCCCGTCCAGGTCCAGGGGAGGGGGTAGGGGGAGAGGTCAAGACAACCTCCAGGTAGCAAGCCGTCTAGCTCACTCCCACCCGCCCTCCCAACGCATAAGTAACACCCGATCCTCAGCATGTTCCGCGGTCGTCTTTTGATGGACAGCTATTGGGAGCCAAAACCGAGCCCATGTGCGCCTCGCTGGGGCGAGGTGCGCCACGCGTGCCAGGCGCGCCACGCGCGCCAGGAACCCCTGGGGCCCGAGCGTGCCAGGCACGCCGAGTGCGCCAGATGCTGCCTCCAGCCGCGCCAGGTGCGCCACGTCCGGGGCACGTACAGAGTGTGTCAGGTGCGCCTGCGCACGTGAACGGCACACATCAGGAAACATGTCAGCCCCCACCATCCCTGTCGAAAACCAATGCCCATCATTGTGTCTGGTGGGCCTACGCACAGCATGCCATACGCCCCCGCCCCCGCCATTCCTGACAAAAACCACGTGACAATGATCGGGTGGGAGGAGGAGGAGGAGGAGGAGGAGGAGGAGGAGGAGGAGGAGGAGGAGGAGGAGGAGGAGGGGAGGGGGAGGGGGAGGGGGGGGGGGAGGGGAGGGGGAGGGCCCGGAGAGAGGGCCAGAAAGGTAGTCGCAGGAGGACCCCGAAGGCCCACGAGAACACCCCGAGCGAGCCACGATAGAGGGCAGCAAGAGGCGATGCTGAGGGGCTTTCATGGTGGGGGGGTCTAGCATTAAATCGGGTGTGTCCCCCTACATGGGGGTCTTTGGATGACACATGGAAAATAGGCAAGACATGCGCCGATATGTTCAAACATAACAGAAAAACGCTCCCTGACTGTTGTTTAACTATTTTTGAACATTCTCTCTGTAGAGGGACAGGCCCGACTTCAGTATAGCAGGGGCCTCTCCCGCTCCCCTTCCCCACGTCCCCACCGCCCCGAATGGAGCGAGAGGGGATGGCTTCGGGAGGGTGTGGCTGCTATGTGTATTCCAGCCTCTTCTTCTTGACACGCCGCTCCCTTTCTGCTGATGCCCCGCCGCCGCCTTCGGGCTCGCAGGGGGCGCGCGCGACAGAAAATAGAGCGCTGCCTCTCTCGCTGCGGGCGTCGTTCACGCTCATATCATCTTACCCCCCCCATACTTGAGAGTTACCACCGTGATTTCCACAGATGGCGGAGGTGGAGTGGTGCAAAGGACCGCAAGAAATGCGGAAGGAATGTTGCGGAGGCATGGGAGGACGACGGTGTATCCAGTGGAGGAATCTGACTTACACGGACGAGGAGTGACGGACGGTGAGTGGTGTGTGGATGGGGGGGGGCTGGATGGGGGTTGGAAGAGTCCGACGATGAATGGTGGGCGAACAAATTGGATGGATTGACGGGCAGGGAATCGCGGGCGGACAAAGCGAACGGGGAACGGTAATCAGGGAATTTGGCGTTGGCAAAACGTTTTCCGCATCCTTTATGACCTGCCGCTGCCCCCGAGAATATGTTGACCCTCTTCTTCCCCCCATCCCCATTCTTTCCTTCTCACCGTGATATGTTCCCCCCGTTCGGAGGGACTGAGGGCGGCTGTGCTGCCCCCGTAGCGCGCGCGCTCGATGCTAAACAAGCGGCGGGGCAACATGGCGAATGCAACAATCATCATGTGCTCTCCGGACGATGCTCTGAAGGAGAGGCGGAAGGAGGACGAGGGGGAGGAGGCGGCGGACAGGAGGGAAACGCGAGGAGGAGATGCACGGGGCGCCAGGGTGGAAAACGAAGGCCGGTCGGGTTGCACGCCCGCCTCCAGTCCCACCCCCGCCCCGACAGGTTATGATGTTATTCTTGGGAGGTTTGCTTCAACGCTGGCGTTGGTATACACGTGGTCGTAAACCCGCCCAATTCGGCATAATCCCCTTCGTGGGTCGCTTTAGTGGGTCCCGCCGCGTTCCATCGTATGCGCGAAGAGATCCCCGGGGTGCCTCCTAGCGCAGGTGACCGCTCACGTGGACTTCCCCAAGCTGGAGAGGACGACCCTGGAACGCGTCGCCAACCTGACCGCCCACGTCGTCGCCAGGACCGTGGGAGTACCAGCTCGGCGCGATCCGGCTTCCGACTCGATCCGCTTCGGTTTCATTTTTTTTGCACTGCCCACCAAGCCACCCCAAGCCAACCCGAAAGCCCCAACGTGCTTCACATTCTCAGTGGGGGGGGGGTCGGGGAACATTAACATAATACATATATATATATATATACATATATATATATATACACATACATGAAACAGCCCGAAATTCGGGTCTTGGTTTGTGTTGGAGTGGTCTGGCAAGTAGTCGGCGATGGCGCGGCCGATTTGCACACGACTCTCGCCGATGCGACGTTCGTGTCGATTTGGTTCGGCATATCGGCCCCGTGTTGGTCGGCCACGCGCAGAAACTGGCTAGGGGGAAGGGGGTTCCGTACAAACACCCATGCTTCTCAGAAGGCGCGGGCGTGATTTGTACATTGTAGGGCCGGTGCCTCGTAGACAGCCACCTCATTTCAAGAAGCCTTCCCCTTTCCCCGACCCCCTTGCGCGCCGCCAAGTGGGGGCCGCTTGCCAGACCCGCGATCTCGCTGGCCCAGGAGGGGGGGGCGCGTCGCGGCGCAGAGGGGGGCAACGCCCCCCCTCCCTTTCTGCAGCGGTGTTCGTGCTTCTCTCGCCCCCGTCGTTTCCTTGCGCTCTGCCTCTCGCGGCCCCCCCCCCTAGGAGGCCACCTGCGAGGCCTACCTCACCACCCCATGATTTTGCCGGGGCGTGCTGGGGCTCACTTCGTTCGAGGACTCTGGAGCGAAGTGACCCCCCCCTAGAAATCGTGGTGTGGTCGGGTGGGGTTCGGAAGTGGCCTCCCGTCCCCCCTCCTTCCGACCCCACGTTGTTGCGCATTTCGTCCCCCGTGTTCGTCTTCCCGCTTGTGTCTTTCCCAAGCGGCCTGGGGCAGGAAACGTAGTTTTCGGTGTGAGAAGATAATGGGTTGTTGAAAACAACCTTGTTCTGCCCCAGCATTGTGTTTGTCAATTGCATACGTTCTCCCCCCCAAAAGTGTCCCCCAAAATTGTCCGGCTCATAGAAATAACAATTTCCGTTCCTCCATTTCTATCCCCCTTTTCCCCCCTACCTCATTCCGCTCGCGTCACTCGTCCAGGCCACCTTTGTCCGTTGCGTTGTTTGCAGTATGTTCGGTGCTGGGCAGTGGGGTTTCTTCACATTCGCTGTGTTATGGGAGGTCGTGTTTGTTGGCCGTGGTAATTCGTGGATTTCGGCATTGCAAGATGATGTATTACCAGACGTCGTCGGGGGCTCGCATTCCACATTCCTTTCCCTGTCTCCCTGCTCGTCGGCGACTGGTCTCCAGAAGTCGCCGGCGTCATAACACGGTGCGTTTTGGGCTCGGTGTTTCTTGGGTTCCCTCCGCAGGTTTCGATTAGATGTTATCAACTAAGCATGAGATAGCATTTGCAACGCATCTTCTTGCAAAGACTTCGACCGTGGCTGGTCTCGTTTTCAACCTCGGTGCAGTCGGCGTGCGTCCGCAGGTCGCCCCCCCTTGATCAAGTGGCAAGTTGACCCTCGTGTCTTCCCAGTTTTCAAGATCCGCTCAACATCGGTCCCAGGACTCCTTCAATCGGGACCAATCCCTGCGTCCTCCTCGGTCGTCCTCGCGCACGCGTTCGCTCTTGCCTTGCAGTCGGACGCCGAGGCATGGAGGCAGTGCTTGGTCACTGCTGCCCTCGTCGTCATCGAACTCACTTCCAGGAAATAGTCAGGCACGAATCGCCATGGGTGTATGGAAATGGTTCCAGGCGCTCTCGCCTCGGCGTGGGCTGCAGGTTCCGCTAATCACGCCGCTCTCGCTCGGGCGTTGGCTTGCTTACAAGTTTTGGTCTTCGAAGGCTCAACTGCGACGACAGCGGTTCCCGCTCGATACTCTCTCAGTCCTTGCTCCGAGGCCGCTCTGGCCAGAGACGTCCCTACACAGGAATTGGCGCTCTTGCCCGACACCCC